ACACACACACACAGCCTGGCTTTTGACCATGAGCTCAGAAATTAGGAGCACATGTCTACCTCTAAGATCAGTACTGTTCAGAACTCTTTCCAAAAGATAAAAGTCAATACCAGGCATGGAGGGGAGGTGGAGGCAGGCAGAATTCTGTGATGTTGATTTATACATTTTAACCATTAAGTCTCAGTCATCTCAGACTAAGTATTTCTTGTTTTCATGCAGGAGAAATTCACTTAAAATTTATTTTACTTTTGATTGTGTGTGCTCATGCACCTAACAGCAGGGTCCTAGAAGCCAAAGGCACTAGAACGCTTGGAGCTGGGGTTACAGGTGGTTGTAAGACATCTCACCTGGGTGTTGGAAAGTGAGTTCAGATCCTTTTGAAAAACAGAAGGTGCTCTTAACCTCAGAGCCACCTTTCCATCCCAGAAATTCACTTTTGAAAGAGGAATAGAATAAATTCCTCTGAAACAAAGGTAACCTGATTCCGGGCTTTCATATTACCAGGAAGAGGGTAACAATTATGCTAGCCTTGTCGATTGGGCACCACACCAACAGTTTTAGTAAATCTCAGTCTCCCTCTCTCCCCCCATCTCAGAAAGTGTTCTATGTAACCAAGTTACAATGGCACATTTTGTGGCCCAAAGTCCATTATTTGCCAATCAGTGTATAGTAATGGCTGTTAGGCACTGAGAAACCATTTTGCCAGGATTTGTAGGCTTTCACCATGAGTCAGATCCGGGTGAACACTGTGTATTGACTCTTGTGAATTTGGTAAGGATGAGGAAATCCTGACATAAAGATAGAAGATAGAACTGTTAAATAAAATATGGTAGTCAGGTAAGCTAGTGCATGCTTGAAATATCAGCTCTTGAAAAGTAGAGACAGAGGATTGCGGAAAAGCCAGCCTGGGGTACCTGTTTCAAAGTGGGCAGGACACAGTTCCAGGATGCACTTCTACACTAGATCACAAAAAGGTTTGATCAGACCAAAATGAGCTACTCATGCTAAATGTCACAGCGTGAAACCACAACTTTAAGCAAACAGCTCCCTGAAACTGACCTGATTTCCTTTTTTGCCCGTGTCACTATAATAAAGAAATCACTTTTGTTTTAATATTTACAATATCTGACACGTTTCTACCTTACAAAAGCATTGCTTTTATACCACTCCGAAGGTGCTTTTATTCTTTTCTGTAGCGCTTGGACTGAGTGTATTCATATATTCAATAAAAAGTTAAGCGGAGGGAGTGCAAAATGAGGGTCACCATTGAAAAAGAGGCAATAATACGCAAGAGTGACTACTTTCCAACTCTGCGGCAGCTTTGCACCCACTGCTCGGTTCCACCTGCCCGCTTTGGAGCTGAACCTGCTGGTCGCCGAACCCCCACTTACCTAGAGCTCACCGAGCTGCGCCGGCCTACCGGAGAGAAGAGCACAGGCGAGCTAACCGCAGACCCCAGAGACAGACCCCTTCGGCTCGCTCTAGGCGTGGACGCCGGACCGATTCCGACCAGCGGACCTCGTCGGGTCCCCGGACCCGGGGTCCGCGGAGAGGAGGCAGCTGGAAACATGTCTGCAGGAAACGTAGAGGAAGCGCCACTCGTGGAAAAAAGAGAGAGAGAGAGAGAGAGAGAGAGAGAGAGAGGGAAAACCTCGCGCGCCAAGAGCTTGAACACTAAGGGGGAGGGAAGGCGCCTACCGATGACGTAACAGGGCACCGAGCGGGGAGGGACACTCAATGATGATATACAAATAGGAAAGGCAAGGCGCGTGGCGATGATGGCAAAATTTGGCGACGCGCTGCAGGGCGGGGTCGGAACTAGAAAGACTGTGACGTCATATCCAGTACCAGGTGGCGAGCGATTTTGAGTCGGCTCGGAGTCCAGAGCTCTCGGGGATGTAAAGAGGAAGCCCGGTTCTCCAGCACCCAGGCCCTCTGCGGGGAGTGCGATCTGTGGAAGGAGGCGTCCGTGGGCGGAGCCGAGGAAGTCACAGTGCTGGTGTCTCGGTATGCGGTGGCGATTGTTGTAGCGCGCTGTTTCCCGGTGCACTCAGTAGAGCTTTTTCCACCCTAAGATCGGTCGGAGGTTTGGCCTTCGTCCGAAGGTCCGGGCTTTTCTTTGGGTCCCAGCTCTTGCTTCCCAGTCGCATCTTGCAGTTTGATGGATTTGGCCTACTGCCCCAGGCACGAAAAGAGCTGTGTCGTCATCCCGACCCCCCCTCGCCTTCCGCCCCCCCCCATCCCCGAAGTCCCAGAGCCTTGTAGAAGTCATATAGCAGGCATTCACCCAGCTCTGTTAGTCTTCTGGGTCTGTTTTGAAAGTCCGCGGTGCATGTAGGGGGTGTGTCTTCCTTTTCTACTCTGCTCCCCACACTGCCAGCCAGTGAACTAACGTAAGCTCAGAAGTTTGTAAATTTCCAGCGCTTATAACTGCCCAGGGGTTACTTGCTCAACCCTTTTTGAGGTCCCGTGACTTAACTTTCGGCGGCCTTTCTCTTTTTTCGCCACTTCCCACTTGGGATTCCACATTCTATGAATTAGCCTCTAATGCCATTGCGCAACTTTCTTCTGGATTACCTGCTTGCTCTTCCTGGCAGTTGTCCGACCGCATCAAATTTAGCGCTGCTATCTTCATAAGATCAGGGATGACCTTCCTACTCCCTAGCCGTATACATCTGATCTGTTTAACAACTTTCGTCCAAAGTGGCCTCTCAAGTAATTTCAATTTTGGTATTTTTGGTATCTGAGACAAAGTCTCATGTAGTCCAACGTAGCTTTGAATAACTCCTGGTGCTGCGGAGATTACACGTGTGTGCCACCACACCTGGCTCAAGTAGCTACTTCTGCCTTTCTTGGGGAGAGGAGTGAGACACGGACTCACAAAGACCCACCTGCCTGTCTCCCAAGTGCTAGTATTAAAAGTGTGCACTACTACAACCCACTATTTCTGAATATCTTTGAGAGGGCGATTTTGCCACCTTTGTGTCCACTGTAACAAGTACACTGTGGACTCCACAGCTGAAATAGGAGAACAGTTAGGAAAACGCTGGCTGAGTAAACCTTAGATGGGGAGTGCAGTGGGCCAGTTGTTCATATTCCCCAAGATCACATTTGTACTACTGGCAGTTACCTTGTGTCTTCTCCCAGTTGAGAGAAAGTAACAGGTTTATCTTGTTCTGCAGCTGCCTTTTTTAGTCTTAGAGAGCCCAGAACATTTCCTCATTTGTTTCTGTTTTATTGGGAGGGGTATGCACTCATCGGTGGAGTGGGTAGTGTCTGAAGAGGTTTGGTGGAGCCAACTTTATTCTTGTACCTACAGGACCAGGAATAGTTCAAAGCCACTTTGGACTACATGAGACCTTGTCTCAAAACCCAAAAAACAAACAAACCAAAGGCATAATTACTTGAGAGACCACTGTGGACTCAAGTTGTTATGCAGAGCAGATCAGAAGGTCAGGTTGCTAACTGCCACTTATATAAACCTCTGCAGGAGCTGGAATGACTTGCCAGCACCTGTGAGCTGGAACATTCCCTGTGTGGAAATGTTGGAATAGTGAGGATTATTTAATATATGTAAATATATAATTATGTAATATAGGAAAACAAAAACTCAAAGCCCAGAAAGAAAGCTGAAGGAAAAAGTATACTCTTCAAGAAAACCATTACTGTACCTTTATGGCACTTAGAAGGTAGAGAGACAGGCAGATCTCTTATCACTTCAGGCCAGCCTGGTCTACTAAGTGAGTTCTAGGATAGACAAAGCTACATAGTGAGCCCATGTCTTAAATAAATAAATATCTTAAACTAAACAAATAAAGCCAAATGTGTGGGGAATGGAGAGATACTCAGTGGTTAAGAGCACTGACTGCTCTTGCAGAGGTCCTGAGTTCAATTCCCACATGGTGGCTCACAACCATCTGTAATGAGATCTGGTGCCCTCTTCTAACCTGCAGGAAAACATGCTGGCAGAACACCTACACATAATAAATTAATAGTCTTGTTTTTTATAAACTACTTTTGCAGAGCACCCAAGTTCATTTCCCAGCACCCATACAAAAATCATCAATACTAACTCCAGAGAGTCCAATGCCTTCATCTGGCTTCTCTGAGCACAATCTTCTCTGACAACCTTCTCTGCAGTTGTCATCCTGACCTGCTGTAATATTTTTACCAGCCATAATGGAACAGCAAGGGCACTTCTCTCCCTTAAGCTATTGGTTTTTTTGTTACAGCAATGAAAAACTAAGACGTGACAAACCAATTCACAACTTGCTGAAACTGCTTTCCTCACTGGGGTGAATGGGTTCTAAGTGTCTACCTCGAGGGATTGTCAGGGCACCAAATGTTACCTGTGCACATGCTGGAAACCAAACAGCCTTGCTGGCCACAGTACTTGACCAGATTTATATTACTGATTTTTGCCTGCCTTACCCCCTCCCCAAATGAGAGCTTTTTGAAGATAGACACTGCTGAATCCCTTCTCAGGGCCACAGCACTGTTCTCAAGGTGGGACAGGGAATGCTCAGTAATGAAACTGGGGTGGCTGGACAGAGTGCTAATAAATAGCAAACAAGTGGGGACATTAAGAACCTTTGATGAGCCAGGTGTTGGGGGTGCCTGCCTTTAATTCCAGCGCTCAGGAGGCAGAGGCAAGTGGATCTCTGTGAGTTTGAGACCAGCCTGGTCTGCAAGAGCTAGCTCCAGGACAGCCTCCAAAGCCACAGAGAAACCCTGTCTCTGGGAAGAAAAAAAAAAAAAAAAGAACTTTTGATGACTTTGATGAGGAAAGGCATGGAACTGGAAGTCACTACTCTGTATTTGGCATGACAGATTTAAAAATTCTTTGAGTCTCTATAGCAAATTAAGAAACTGAATGTGTACAAAATTTTAAAAGAAGTGATAGACATGAGCCTGGGGATATGGATATGACTGAGGATATGGTAAAGTGCTTGGCATGTGAGAGGTCTTTGATTCAGTCTTAGCATCATAATAAACACAGATTAAATTCACTATAAATTTTAATAAGATATAAAATGTTAAAGACAAATATTATTAAGAAAAAAAATGTGATGACCCAATTCAATTTAAATACATTCATGGAGCAAAGGGGTTTCCCACCAACCTGATTTGCAACTGTTTTGTCTTCTGAGAACCACACTCAAGTTGAACAAACATGTGGACAATGGAAGATGATTGTCACAGATGTGCTGTTTACTAACTCAAAGACCACTACACTCATTCAGGGAGCCTATCTTACTCATCAAATCCCCAAGTGTAACATAAATTGATATGTGCTTCTCATGATGAGGTTTCTTCCAGTATGGCCAGAGGCAAACGGACGGACATGGCAGGTGTGTCCATTTTAACTATCAGTGTAGCTATGTTACAGGGTCTACATCACCAGAAAAAAAAAAAAAGGAGGAGGAAGGGGAGGGGAGAAGGGGGAGGAGGGAGAAGAAGAAGAAGCAGCAGCAGCAGCAGCAGCAGCAGCAGCAGCACTTTTTCTTGAGGCAACATCCAACCAAAAGCATTGATTAAAAAAAAAAAAAAAAAAAAGGCAAATCTTTAAGAACGGAGACACTGTAGGTGACTAAAACTACAAGCACAGGAGAAAAGGCTACTCATCTCCTTTATAGAGCAGTGCCATGTTAACATTCCATGTACTCCACAAAGTAGAACTTTCGAACTCTTCAAATGTCTTTGAAATAAGGTTTCATGCCCTGGTTGGTTTTAAACTCACTGTGTAATCCCAGTTGCCAGGGTTAGGGGTGTGAGCCACAGTGCTTTTTTTTCTTTTTAAACAAGAACAGTTTGGCGTGGCTGATTGTTGGATCTTCAAGATGAACTGGATGCTGCAACAGCTACCTCTTGACCTTAGATTGTTCCTTCACAGAATCCATGTCTGAATATATGGTAAACAATTTTAGGTGCCTCGTCTGCCCAGTCCATCTGTTAGCTTTGGCACTCAAGTTATACTTTCTCTTGAGCTTGGCAGGGTTGCCACTTTTGCCACAGCAGCAGGACAATATGTATCTTTTTTTTTTTTTTTAATTTATTTTTATTATGTGTATTATGTGTATGCAGGCCAGAAGAGGGCACCAGAACGCATTGCAGATGGTTGTGAGCCACCATGTGGTTGCTGGGAATTGAACTCAGGACCTCTGGAAGAGCAGTCACTGCTCTTAACCCCTAAGCCATCTCTCCAGCCCCAATATGTATCTTATTAGGACGATTTCCAAAATATGACGTCCCTTTTGTCATTGTGCTTCTGCTACTGACACCAAAGAGCCACCACATTCAAGGCTGAATATAATATTATTCATATTCAACCTTATTAGTGAAAATTTAAAATATAAAACTATAATTAATATATATGAGAATTACATATTAAAGTTTTTTTTTCAAAATACATGCTTCAACAAATGTAAAATTGATTTTCATTCACTTTTGTTGCTAATACCTGGTCATTTGTACCTTGCTTTTCAAGAGGAGTCATAAAACAAGGAAGTGAATAAAAAAATAGAAGCTTTCCTGTTTACAGAATGGGATTTCTTCCTTTGGCAAAAAGCACCAGGCTCTCATACGCCCTAGTGCTGGACACTGCACTTTTTGACAGTTGCAGCCTATGGTGTTCCAGAGCTCTGACCCCCTGAGATGTGGGGGACAGACAAGGCAAGCTTTCCCTCAGTGGCCCCAGGAAGGTACCCCAGTGATTAGCAACCTGGCTTAAAGCAGTCAGGCCTTTAGTTTATAACTCCCTCTTTAAAGCCATCACCCGACAACAGCTGGACTCTGGCAGCAGGCAAAGGAAATGAGGTGCTGTACTAACAAACATTCCAAAACCTGCAGTAACTTCAGTGATTCAGACATTTAGAAAGTTACAATTTTAAAACTGAGTAAGAAGATCTGAGAACAGGTACATCTTAAAACAGTATTTTACATTCTTTGTGAAAATAGGCATGTCTCAAATAACTGGAGTTATGATCCACAGGATTCATACAATCTCTAAGCTGTTTTCTTCAATGCTGTTTGGTTTTAAAGTCTCTCAGACAACCTATTGGTAACTTCTGCTTTGTTTTTGTTTGCTTTCAGACAGGGTCTTGCTATGTACATGATGAAGTCTTTACAATCCTCCTGCTCCAGTTTCCCAATAGCTGGAATTACAGGCTGTATACTATGACAGCTCTAGGAACTGACATTATACTGACATAAAACTCTGTTTGTTCATTAGTTTTCTGTAAAGCCCATTGGGCTTCAAAAGCAGCTCCTCATGTGTTCCATGCTCACTGATTTTTCCTTGGTCAAGGACAGCAACAAAATTGGCATTCTTAATGGTGGACAGGCGGTGAGCTATGATCAGTACTGTTCTTCCTTCCATCAGCCGGTCAAGTGCCTCCTGTACCAGATGCTCATTTTCAGCATCAAGTGCACTGTAACAGACAGGGTCACACACAAGAGGAAGCAGAGATGTCAGAGCTGCACACATTATTGAGCTACTCCAGCTTAGACACACACACACACACACACACATTACTAAGACATTCTCCAACATGGATTCACATATTAGACATTGTAACATGCTTAAATATGTCACAGAGACACCCTCACCTGGTTGCTTCATCAAGAAGAAGAATTTTGGGGTTCTGGAGAAGGAAAAAGAAAAATGATTTATTAGCAAATTCTGGGCAGAAGGCTCAGCAAGTGAAGGCACTTAACCACCAAGCCTGACAACCTGAATTTAATTTCCAGATCCCTCATCATTAGAAGGAGAGAAGGGACTCCCCCAAGTTGTTTGATGACCTTTGAGTATCCTTCACCCCAAGATAAATACATAAAATAAAAACAATAAGTGTTAACAGTTTAAAAAAGATTGAAAGAGGGGATAGAGATACAGCTCTGTGGTTAAGCTCTGTTGTTCTTTCAAAGGACCTGGGTTCAATTCCCAGTATCCATATGGCAGTTTCTGTAACTCCAGTCCCAGAGAATCTGATGCTTTCTACTGGCTTCCATGGGCACCATGCACAGGTGTGATGCACAGACATACATGCATGCTAAACACTCATATGCATTAAAAAAAAAAAGAAGGAGAAGAAGGAAGAGAGTTCTGACTTATATGGTGGTATTGCTGCCCCTGGAAAACAGTGGACTGTCAAGTAGTCAGACACAAAAGATCTGTGAGTCTACCCACACAAAATGCCTGGGCAGGTAGCAGGACAAAAGGCTGAAGAGTGGCCTTCCGCTGATTTAGAGAATAACAAGAAGAGGAGAGCTGTGAGTGACAAAAACAACATTAGACTGGGGCTGGAGAGATGGCTCAGCGGTTAAGAGCACTGACTGCTCTTCTAGAGGACCTGAGTTTAATTCCCAGCAGCCACATCGTGGCTCACAACCATCCGGAATTCAATCTGGTGCCCTCTTCTGTCCTGCAGGCAGAACACTGTATACATAATAAATAAATAAATCAAACAAACAAACAGATTTTAAAAAAAAAGAACAACAACAAAACATTAAACAATACCATGGTAAAGGATGAACCAGTTCAGTGAACCAAAGACCACAGAACTGGATGGGAAATAACTAAATAATAATAATAGTTGGTGGTGCACACTTTTAAATCCAGCACTCCGGAGACAGAGGCAGGCAGATCTCTGAGTTTGAGGCCAACCTGGTCTACAGAGTGAGATAGCCAGTGCTGCTGTTACATAGAGAAACCCTGTCTCGAAAAAAAAAAGCAAAAACAAATCTTAATAAAGAGAACCTGTTCCTAAATACCTGCATGAGTGTATGATGGAGGTGACTGCATCAAGTTGAAGCCACTGTCACTGAAATCACTATATGGAATTGGCTTAAAGCATTGTTACCTTCTTGTCTGTCAGGAAACAGAGAAGCTGAAACCAGCAAGTTCAGTCTTCAGCTATCTCTAAGTCCTCCCAATAGCTTAAGAATAGCAAACTAATGCATAGTGCAAAAAAAAAAAAAAAAAAGTAAAATTGAATCAATATATACATCAAATTCTAGCTTTTTTCCTAAGAATCTATCTGTAAGAAATGAAATGTGTCAACAAAAGGTACCTGCCATGTTCAAATATTACAACTTTCAAATCAACCAAGACACATTACAGCTCATTGATTAAGCATCAGAAAAAGAAAGTTCTCAACAACACAGGGAATGCAGACATTTTAGAGTGCTATGAGCAGAAATGGAGCCATGTACTGTCTGTTTCCACTGTCTGGACTGTCCAGAAAGGCAAATCTAGACAAAATGTGTATTTACTAAAAGTCACTACAAAGTACATTTAAACAGGTATCCTACGGAATCATACTTCCATGATGCTATTAGAAATCACTTATATGCGGAGGAGTAACAAGGGGAGATGTTGCTCTGTCCCCCTCCCCCTCCAACCAGGGGACAGGGGTTCTGGGGCAGGGTTTCTCTGTGTAACAGCTCTGACTGTCCTGGAACTTGCTTCGTAGATGAAGTTGGCCTCAAACTAAGAGATCTGCCTGCTTCTGCCTCCTGAGTGCTGGGATTATAGGCATGAACCACAATCACCACTGTCCCATAAGATGCTGCTTCCTAAAAGAATGTCTGGCTCCCCATAAGAGGTTCTTCCTGCTCTTGGCTGGAGTCTGTCTGCCTAAGGCTTCAAATCTTGTTCATCAGAACAACTGAGGAAAGGTTAGGCATACATATAAGCACCACTCTGACATTTTGTTAATAATCAGTCACTAGTCAATTGATTCTTCTAGGTAAAAAGACCATTTGTTCAATTTTGGACTCTTGAGAAATTTCTCAAATATGACAAATACTTGGACAATGAGTCCTCAGTATAACTCCCAACTTACCAGATTATCAGCCATATATATATTATACATGCACACACACACACACACACACACACACACACCCAGGAAAAAATAAAGATGAAACTGTTAAGTCATCAATAGTCAGCTTTCTTACCTTCAGCAGGGCCCTGGCTATTGCGATCCTTTGTTTCTGCCCACCTGACAGAAACAGATAGTAAAGGTAAGCGTAACGAAAATTCTTAGCAAATTTTCTAATTACACAAATGACTATTTGAAGGCAACTTCTTCCATTTAACCACAACAGATAGGCAGGACAACAGAAGTTTGTTTTTTAAACATACTTACTAAATAGAAAAATATGAGCAATTACCATAGTTAACATATACTGAGGATTTCCTTCATAAAGGACATTTTCTAAGTGCATGTGGCATGTTAACCTATGACAATCATTCTTGGAGGCAGACCTATAATTACTTTCATTTTTACAGATTAAAAACTGAGGCACAGCTAGGCATGGTGGCACAAACCTTTAATCCTAGCACTTTGATGGCAAAGGCAGGTAGATCTCTGCAAGTTCAAGGCCTGCCTGGTCTACGTAGTGAGTTCTGGGCCAGCCAGGGCTGCATTGTGAGACCGTGTATTAAAAGCAAAACAACAATAAAACAACGAAACCCACCACAAAACCCCTGAGGCAGTGTGAAGCGACAGAGCTGGCAGTGGGAGCATCCTACACCTACACTGACGTGGGGGTCTTCACTTCCAGCCCTGGCTCACACATTCCTCCTAACATGATGGCCAGCACATTGAGAGAACTTGAAACTCCTTGAAAGCAAAGAGAACCAGTGGTGTTGGGTGCCCATCTCCACTGCTCCCTGTTGGCACACAGCCTCTAGTCCTTCTCTTCCTGTGGTATTCTGACTCTTTGCCCCAAAGCAGTTTCATATGTACATGAATCTGTAGGTTACAAACCAGGAAAGTCACTTTAGTCCACTTTTCTTTTAAGCCCAAATTCCCCTCAAAGCCAGGGAACAGGTGGAGTGTTAAGATGCAGGCTTAAAACAAGCAATCTAGCCATTCCCATCTGCCTTGCATCGGGCTCTTTCCTTCAAGTACCCCATCTTCCAGCAGCCAAAACTCCCAGAGGCTCACACCTCCTGATGTGGGCTGTCTAATGAAACTCAATTCTACTTCAGTTGCTAACAGCACTCCTTTCAAGTTGACCATGGATGAAACAACTTTATCCATGGTGATGCTAGGTAGCATATCACTTCATCCAGGTGTTCATCACATTCAACAGATGCTGAGGTGTCATACTCAACATGGAGCCATCGTGGAATGCAAGGAAACCTCTGTCTGGCCCTCTGAAGTAACTGAGTGCCCCAGAATGGTCTTTGGAGCATCCTAGGGAAGGAACCTAATGATCTCTTGGAATGTTGTCTCCAACTAATGATCTCTTGGAATGCTGTCTTCACACCAACTAGTAAACTAAAAACCTGTAATTATCTATTCCTTTAAAACTGCAAAAGCATTTGGGTGCAGTGGTATACACCTATAGTTCTAGTACTTTGCAGGAAAGGACAGGAAGATGAAACATTCCAAGGAAACCTGGACTCTACAGTGACACTGTGGCTCAAAAAACAAAAAGAATGAAGGACCTGTAGCTTCCTCAACTGCAAAATGAAGCATGAGAATCCTGTTAAGATGTAAAAACATGCAGAAATAATTCAAAGGGAACAGGAGACTTGCTTGAAAGATGAACTCCATGTTATGGTGAATCTCCCATGATATTTATCTAAAACACCAAAAAAAAAATCTTCCTGCTGATTTTTATTTCAATCGTGCAAAATAATTTGTTCCATTTATCCTCTGTGCTCTAACCTCAGAGTTGGAAAGGACTATTGCCAATCAAGCCACCAGATGCCTTAGAGAGTGAAAGTTCAGAACCTCTAGAAGAAACACATTTTACTACTTACATTAAAAAAAAAAAAATAAGTGTCTAAACAAAAATGTGCTTCGGTTTAGTTCCACTACAGGTGGTCCTACTTTATGTTCTACAGCAAGTCAGAACAAGCTTCCCTTTCCCCCAAGAATGTGGTACCCACAGTGCAAAGCTGTCTGCTGGACTTGAAGATGTCAAGGAATGGTCAACTATGCCTCCCAGAGATAAATCCTTTCAACAGGCTTTGGCCCAGAGGCGACATAAGGATCACAGTCTTTTCACAAAGATCTTTCGTGAAGAATGCACTTTACATTTTTCAAGAGTTCATTAGGGAAATAAGCACAGGCTAGGAGTGTAGCTCTGTGGTAGAATGATTCTCTACAATGCTCAAGGTCCAGTGCTCCATCTCTTTCATCACACACACATAAATAAACCAGCATCATATTTGACAGAGGTGATAGATCACCATTAAAGATGGTGATATGAATAAAAAAGACCCTCATTGGCTCATATATTTGAATGCCAGGGAGTGGCACTGTTTGAGAAGGATTAGGAGGATTAAAAGGTGCCCTTGTTGGAGGAGTGTTGCTGGAGGTAGGCTTTGAGGTTTCAAAAGCCCAAACCACTTCATCTTGTTCTTTCTTCTCTCTCTCTCTCTCTCTCTCTGTCTCTCTCCCTCTCTTTTGGATCAGGATATAAAGTTCCCAGCTACTTCTCCGTACCCTGCCTGCCTGCCTGCCTGCCTGTTACCATGTTCCCCACCATGATGATAACGCACTGCCCTCTGAAACCTTCAGCAAGCCCCTAATTACAGGTTGCCTTGTCATGGTATCTTTTCCAGAAATATAATAGTAACTAAGACAACTTTAGATACTGGGCCTCTTTGGGATAATCTCCTTTTCCTTGGGCAGGTCATCATCTTCCACCTTGTCATGTCTCCTTTCCTTTAATTCCCTATAGCCTCAGGCTACAGAGCACAGCTCTTCTCAGATGGAGTCAGGCTTGCTGCCACTGGGTACTACTCAGCAGTCCTGAGGAGAGCTTTGGGAGGAAACACACCTTTTCACAAAGGATGAAGTGATTTTCCTAAGCTGTAAGGATGAAAACCTCATCCACAAATGACAGTGCACTGGGAAACATGTGAGAATTTCCTGGAGTAAGTTCTTCTGTTACACATCTGACAGGAGTAAGAGAGTAAGTAAAATACAAGAACCACGTACCTGACAGGAGGATGCCCTTCTCCCCGACCACAGTGCCGAAGCCCTGTGGGAAGCCACGAATGAATTCCGCAGCATTGGCCACTTCTGCTGCCCTCTCCACCTGCTGGGCTGTGACTGAGGATGGGTTGTCAGCACCATAGGCAATGTTTTCTGCGATAGAGCAGGAAAACAGGACTGGCTCCTAGAATTGTAAATACAGCACATCTGTCAGAAATTTCAGCCAACTTCAGGTAGGCACCATGGGTATCAAGGAGTTGAAGACAGGCCTCAGTCAAAAGTGACATACACTCACAGAACAGGGCTCTGCCTGGAGGTCCTGCTCTTCTACAACCTCACCCAGCCAATTTAAAAAGTTCCAGTTTAGGGGCCCACAAAAAGTCTCAGGAGGTAAAAGGTGCTTGCTGTCAAGCCCGACAACCTCAGTTCAATGAGTTCATCCCCAGAACTTACACCGTGAAAGGAGAGAACCAAATCCCCTAAAGTGTCACCTGGCCTCCATATGCACACCAAGGTTTGTGCACACACCCATATCACAAAACAAATAATGCAGTGTTTTCTTAGAAAGGGACCAGTTTACCATGAACAAGACCAACTTGATCTGACATCTTCACCACACTGTGGAAAGGCGACCCCAAGATGGGTGCCCACAACTGCTGGCCCATGGCAACCTTGTCAATCTCAACACTTTCCTTAGGGCTAGCAAGGCCTGGAAGACTCAAGTCCAACTGTCTACCTTCCATTACAGAGAAAGTCAATCCATTGCTTTCTGACATACAACCAGACACCGCCACAGCATCCTGACGCAGCACTGTGAAGCACACCAGCCTCTAGTCTTGCCCCTAGTCTTGCCTCTGCACACTACCACCTATGGCAGTGCCGATGGCTGTACCACCCATCCATCCTAGTAGAGGAGTGTATCAGAGTGCAAAAATGGGAGGTGTGAATGTGTCTACAGGGTGCACTATGGTAAGAGAAACTGGTCGTAGTACAGTGCTGTCCTCCACACAGTCTGGAGCAAGCAGCTTCATGAAAAGGAACCACGCTTGGCTTCCATGCACATGCATGGGAACTGGGAAGAACAGTGAGAGCTTCCGCAAGTCCCCCTTCCCCACCGCAGACCCTCTACACGCAAAGCAGCATCAGGCTCAGCTCTCAATAAAAAGTTGTAGTGAGATAGTCACTTTGTTCGCACCTGTGGCGCTGACCACGCCCACTGGGGGTGGGGACAGGGGCAGAGGTGACCTGGGGGAACTAGGTCTAGGAAAGGGGCCCCTGGAGCGCTCTCTTGCTTGCTGGACAGGGACAGAAAGCATCCAGAGGTATCGTTGGGACAAGGAACCTGCTGGTGTTCATCTGGCTCTGTTATTTCTCCCTGAATGAACATCTATTCAGCCTGTTTTTCCTGATCCTTATTAAACCACGATAAAAAGTCAGCACTTCAACTGATGAAGTGTTTTGAGTCTTCAGGACATAGCCAGCAGTTTGTGCGTGGAACCGGTGTGATCCATCTGGAAGCCTCTGTTCTTCTCCTGAGAAACATGTGATCAAGAAAAAGCAAAGGAAGATGGTTGTGTACCCCTTTAATCTCAGCACTTGGGAAGCAGAAACAGACAGATCTCTGTGAGTCTGAGGCCAGTCTTGTCTACAGAGTGAGTTCCAGGACAACCAGGGGCACACACCTTTATCCTGGTGCTGGGGAGACAGAGTTAAGTGGATCTCTGAGTTCAGGCCAGCCTGATCTACAGAATTCCAGCCAGGAGCCAGAACTGTTATACAGAGAAACCGTGTCTCAAAAAAGAAAAGAGAGAAAAAAAAAGAAAGACAGGGAAAAGCAAAAGCTGCTTCAACTCTGCCTTCTTACCTGACTGACTGTCCCAATCTTGGATCTCAGCCAGATGGGGTTTAGCTGACGAATGTCGTGGCCATCAAGACTGACTGTTCCTGTTGGAGGGTGGGGCAAGAGGTCACCACAGGTGAGGGCTCATAACCAAAGTGAACACAAAAAGGACCTGGTGGGGAAATCCTAGGTATTTTCTACCTCTCTATGTCTCTGTCTGTCTGTCTCTCCCTCTCCCACACCCCTCTTTCTTAGAAAAGATCTCCTGTAGCTTAGTTAACTCCATATTCACTATGTAGCCAAGAATATAGCCAAAAATAATATTGAACTTCCAATCCTTTTCCTACCTGGGATTATAGGAGTGTGCCAAATACTGATTTGACACCTCTCCCCCAATGCTGTACTGGCAATCAAATCCAGATTTTTATGCACATGAAACAAGCAATCAACCAACTGATCCACATTTCTAAACCACAGACGATTTTCAAAAACTAAACATACTTGGGACTTGGAGTGTGGCCAGTGGTGAAGGACTTCCTAGCATATGCAAAGGCCTGGGTTCTATCCTAACCACAAAAAAAAAAAAAAAAGCAAAAAACAACAACAACCAACAAGGTTTGGACTTTCTTAGCAAGACGGATGATCTTCTGGGATGTCTCAGACTAGGAATTCCTTCCTGAGTCTGTAGGTTGCTTCAAGCTGAGCTACCTGGTAATGTTGATGTCCTATGAATCTGATGTCTTATGCAGAGCCTTGATCCCAAAGAAAATTGTGTGACAGAGCAGTACACAGGCAGCCTCCTGACTCTATAGTCTCCTGATCATGCCAGTATCAGAAGAGACCATGAAGGCCTAGTTCCAGGGGGGAGTTCTATAAATGTTCTGCAATTTAAAATAGAGTCTATTTTGCCACTCCATCTAAGATTATGCAGAACATAAATACATATATCCTATGAATGAATGATACAGTGTCATATTTGTTTTCTAAATCCAAAAATTAAAGCTCACGCACAGATCATGTACTCTAGGCAGAAAAAGGGATAAAGATATAAAATAACGCACTTTTGCTCTTAATGGGGGTATAATCCAAATGAAAACATAGGTAGGCATGGTGGTGCATGCCTTTGATCCTAGCACTTGGGAGACAGATGCAGGCAGATTTCTGTGAGTTCCAGGCCAGTTAGAGCTACACAATAAGATTCTGTGTCAAAAAAAGAAAAGAGAAGAAAACACAGACCAAACTGGGGAAAGTCTATTAAGAAAATATCTGGGCTTGGGAGATAGCTCAGGGGGTTAGAGTGCTTGCCATAGAGGTGAAGCCCTGCACATTCAATAAAGTGCATGATAGATTACAAAAGAAAAGAAAAGGTAGCTGGGTAGTGGTGACACATACCTTTAATCCTAGCACCCCTGCCCTAAAGATGCTGTCCTAGATCTGTCATCATTACAGGCATTGCACAGCTACTCTGCTGTGCTGGAGTGTGGCTTTGATGCTGTCGGATAGACCCCAGTGTCACCAAAGAGTTACATGGTCAGCATTTTATTAAATTAGAACTTTGGAGTTGGGGAATGGAAACTGGGTTTTGGGGCAAGAGCATACAGAGGGGTCAGGAAATATAAGAAACTACACACACACACACACACACACACACACACACACAATCCCAGTACTCAGAGGCAGGCACAGGCTGATGGGAGATGTCAACGCCCAAATTCCCAAATATTGTTTATAAATGTTTGTTTTCATTTAAATGGACTTGGTTATAAATGGTTAATGATCACAGCCAATTCTTTTTAAAGGTAAAAAGGGGATTATGATATAGATATGAATACTTTGTTTTGTAATGGATTTTCATTTATTGATACAATTTAAGGTCAATTTTGTGATGTATATATTTCTCCTTTTGTTTAGGTATTGTGTTTATATAGTTCATTCAAAAAATATTGTATAATGTACTACAGATTATAGATAATTACCTATGATAGTCAAAACTTAGACTTAAGTTAGTTAGGTTTTCAAGATACACAGAGATGTATTTGAGATAAATAGGCATTCTTCAAACCTTTCAAAGACCTACAGAATATGGCATTTAAAGTGGTTTAGGGTTTTCGTGACAGTGAGACATAATTGCTCTTGGCAATACCACCTGCACCAAAAAGAAAGATGGACATCAAAAAAATACATTATGAAGTTTGCCTCCAATATGGCAAGACTAGCCATTTAGACAAAATACTACTCTTGTATGGACTGTTTGACTTGATGCTGTATAAACTGGACATGCAGGACCTACAAAAAAGTGACTGCTGATTCAAGATGGACATTACTACAGAGTTCCTGCTTCATGAAAGAGTCTGCCAGACAGTATGCAGGACACAGAGAAAAGTGACTGACAAACTGCCAATACAAAAAGACATTTTAAAGTTTCCTGCTTTACTAAAGAGTCGGTCAGACACACTATGGCCTATGGGCTAAAGATGAAAGATTACAAAAAAACTTCAGATGACTAAAAAGGCAAGATGTCTCTGTCATTTCTAAAGCATATATTTTCCTTCTGTGGTCTTTGAAGGAGTTAAAGACAGATGGTTATGGTTATAGTTTTCATTAGTTAGGATTAAAGATAAGTTACTTAGACTTTAGACACACAAAGATAAAATAGATGATGGAATATTTTCTTCAAATCTTGCTGAATGTTAATGGACTAAATACTGTTAAGTGTGATTCTTACTTGATAACTGTTGTATAATATATTTTGCTATGTTAAGGTTAAAACCCTTCTTTTTATTTAGACAGAAAAGAGGAGATGATGGGAGATGTCATTCTGTATATGTTTCTCATACTGGTTAATAAATAAAGCACTGTTGGCCAATAGGAAAGGAAGATAGGAGGGACTAGGAGACAAGGAGGAGTCAAGATGGAGAGTCTGGAGAGAGCAGTATGCGGCCGCAGGCTCCCGGTAAGAAGAACGCGTGGACATACATAGATTAACACAAATGGGTTAATAACTAAGGCAGAGCTAGCCAATAAGAAACTAGTACCTGGCCAATAGCATTGTATCAAATACAGAGTCTCTGTGTGTTATTTGGGGCTGGCGCATTGGCAGGACAAGACCGGGCGGCGGCAGGCAGAAAAACCATACTCGTTACACACAGGCAGTCAGGAAATATAAGAAACTACACACACACACACACACACACACACACACACACACACACACACACAATCCCAGTACTCAGAGGCAGGCACAGGCAGTTCTCTGTGAGTTTAAGGCCAGGCTGGCCTACAGAAAAAAACCTACTAGTTCAGAACTTTTTTTTTTTTTTTTTTTTTTTTTTTCAAGACAGGGATTCTCTGTGTAGCTTTGTAAACCAGGCTGGCCTTGGACTCACAGAGATCCGGTCTGTTGGGATTAAAGGTGTGTGCCACCATCGCCCAGCTCTAGTTCAGAGCATTTTAGCAGCATCACTACCACATGAAAGGGGAACCCTTCGGTCAACAAATTAACTATTTACAAACAACTAAGGGAGTGGGCATGGTGGTGCATGCTTAGAATCCCAGCACTCAGGAGGCAGAGGCAGGAGGATTGCCACAAATGTAAGGTTGGCCTTATCCACATAGTAAGTTCCAGGCCAACCCTGTCTTTAAAAATCTAACAACAACAAAACAAACACAGTCTTGGAACAGTCTGGAAGCAGAAGCATCAGAAGACAGCCATTACCTCAACACATGGCAGAGCAGTGTTCTAGTGTGGGTATGAACACTTCACAGCACCTTGGGCTACTGGCACTGGAAGTTATTTATTGGGTAGTATTAGGCACAGTCCTACTAACTCTCCTGGCCAGTCTTACATCAACTTGACACAAGCTAGAGTTATCTGAAAGGAAGGAACCTCAATTGAGAAAGGCCCTTATAAGATCTAGCTGAAGACATTTTCTTAATTAGTGATTGATGAAGAAGGGACCAGCCCACTGTGGGTGGTGTCATCCCTGGGCTGGTGGTCCTGAGTTCTATAAGAAAGCAGAGTGAACAAGACAGAGGGAACAAGTCATTAAGCAGCACTCCTCCATGGCCTCTGCATTAGTTCCTGCCTCCAGGTTCCAACCCTGTTTGAGTTCTTGTCCTGACTTCCTTTGATGATGAATAGCAATGAGGAAGTATAAGCCAAATAAACCTTTTCATCCCCAACTTGCTTTTTGGTCATGGTGTTTTCTTGCAGCAATAGAAACCCTAACTAAGACACTGGCCTACATCCAACAGTAAGAATGTAGAGAAGTGTTGTGTCACCAGACCACTATACTACAAGTCTCCTCCAGGTGTGATCTCTCCTAGGCATGGGGTGGGAGCAGGCAACAGAAGGATAAAAAAAAAAAAAAAAAAAAAACAACTCAGGGATGCCTCTGTCCACAGTATCATTAACCACCTACCAGAAACAGGGTCATACAATCGCAGCAGGAGTGAGACAACTGTTGATTTTCCAGAACCACTAGGGCCAACCAGTGCTGTGACAGATCCAGATGGAATGGAAAGACTGAAATCCTGGAACACGGACACTTCTGGCCGAGCAGGGTACGTGAAGTGCACATTTCTGAATTCCAGAGCACCCTGAAAGCTCTTCTCATCTAACACAGTCCCCTCTGAGACACAAGAAAGAATGCAGAGAGATAAAGCAAAAATGGAGCTTATGGCAGAACATGCCTGTCTGAAGTGAACAGAAACAGATGTCCTTCCCCAACACAGTTCATCCTGCGGGAGCAGGCCTATGTGCATGACAGCCATGAGGGTCAAAGGTTTATTTAGCCCCAGTATGACCTTGGCATGATACAGATTACACATGACACTTATCACTGGGTTTTATGCCCTAGCTTTTATTATACTGAGCAGTACCACGATCCTAGTCACTGCACTGCAAGCACCTAGCATCATGAAGGCATCCCTGAGTGCTATGTGTTGCTACTTATGGCCACCCTCCTCCCACATCTCCTCCAGGTGGTCTAGGCCCAGGGCTTGAGGGAAGCTGATTACAAGGAAGGAGGAGATGGCCCTTGCCACTTAGTAGCAGCATTCCCAAATCACTCCCAAATGTCAAGAAATGTGAAGCCTTTTATTCATCTTCCTCCAACCTCTTGGAAACCTCAAAATCACTAAGGAAGTTTCTTGAAAGCCACCTGTGTGTTCCTACTCATACCAGGCCTACTAGTTGCCATCCTGCCCTTGGTGGTAATGACGGGCTGCAGGTGCATGAGCACATGCAATGTCATCAGCCCCACATTTCCAGAACATTCCTGAAGTGTACCCACCAGTGTCCCATGGGACTCCTTAACCTTCTTCTCCCTGCTCTGGAGTAGAGGCCACCTCCTGGCAGTGGACCATTCTCTGAGGAAGGCATAACACTGATCTAACTGTCCAAAGATTGTGTCTTAAAACCCCAGCAAAGAACATCCCCACCTCAGACCCACCTTTAAAAGGCAGTTGTGGCTGTCTCTCCAGCAGCTCCCAGAGCCGCCCACCAGCACCCAGGCCTTTCATCAGCTCGGAGTAGAATGAACTTAGACCTGAAGACAAGAAGAGCTATCATTAGCTGACAAGAAAGGCCACAGGCTCCTCCTGTCCTGAGGAGTCCTGGCAATTGCAGCTACCAACATGAAATGTGCTACTTTCACTAAAGGAGCTGAGGCTGCTGGCTGCTGCACCCGGCCACCTTTACCCTAGCTCTCCTACAGTTTCTCTTTCTCAGGTTTCACAGATTGCTAATAAGGAAAGGGGAACTGCTGTGACCACACTGATTACCACAAGAAGTCATAGTACTGCAAGGAAGAAACCTCCTCAGTCAGCACAGCAAGTGCCTCACGGGGCGGGGTGACCCCCATGTGAACTGAAATCCCTAGAAAAAAAGATTCTACAAGGGCTATTAGGCCATGAGAAACATAGAAGAATCTTAAATGGGCATTCATACGTGAAATAAACCAGCAAGAAAAGGCTGTGTGCTTTACTGATTGCATCCCCATGACACTTGAAAACTTCAAAGCTGCACAGGTAGTAAAACAATGATCTGTGGATGCCAGAGGTGAGAGTGGAAACACAAGGAGCAGCAAAGACTCCTTTGTGATATTATCATGGTGTCCAATCCACACACTGTACGAGTATAACACCTCCAGCTAAACCTCATGCTAGCTTTGATAACAACAATGTGTCAATGTAGGCTCAGCAACTGTGTAACAAATGGACCACTCTGGTGAAGAGAATGACTGACCCAAAACTGGGGTGAGGGCAATCTCTGTAAATGTAACAGTATTGCTTTTTAAAAAGAATTCTAAGGCCTCTGTGAGTTGTGAGCCAGCCTGATCTACATTGCAATTTCCAGGATAGCAAAGACTACATAGAGATCTTGACTCAAAAGGGGGAAAAAGTCTAAAGCCTAAGCACGGTGGTCAACATTTGTAATCCCAGTACTCAGAAGACTGAGTCAGAAGAGCAGATTTCAAAGCCAGCCTGTGTTATACAGTAAGAATCTCAATAAAAAAACTCAATATTTATATTTAAATATTTTTATATACCAATGGACAAGCATTAATTTCAGCTTTTCTGAAAGAAACCTTTCCATGTGGCGAACAGCAGTGAATACAGAGACTTGGTGAGAGAGATTCAGTCAAGAGCTCAGCCCTAAACAGGGCTGTATATCACCCGCTTTAAGGTTTAGAAACATTGGCCAAAGAATAGGCCAAAAGAGTGTTAGAGCAAGGAGATGGCAGGAAGGGCTGTGAAATGCCATCTTCCAGGTGTGACATGCCACTGCAAGCATACACTCACTCACAGGAGCTGGGGTTACAGATGCTAGGCCTGAATGAGAATGGCCCTGCAAGGGACAATAAAGGGTCCTACAGGGTCCTCCCCGCTCACTGCTGAACTTCTGGCTACCCAGAGATTCTGGGAAAGAGGGAGTCATTGTCTTCAGCTGTTACCTAGTGGTGAGCCTACCAAGCTCAATGGGTAGTTAGTTCTAAATCCAGAGCCATATTGTTAGTCCAGGCTAAACACAATGGGACACAAAACAAAACAGAAAATCATGAGTGTGGGGAAGAGATTTATAGAGAAGAGGAGCTGAGAGGGGTAGAAGGCGGAGAAGACAGGGTTGGGGAAATAGAATGTACTAGGTACATAGTATGCATGAAACTGTCAAAGAAAAAAAAAGACAAATTATATTACTAATTCTGAGGAAGGGAGAAGAGAGGCTGAGTATGGAGAGTTTAAGACTCTGGGCAGCAACCTGTACGGATGTAAAAGTCTTACTATCCAGGCTCAGGGACTCCATCCACCCAATCCCACCAACCACCCTCTCCTCCCCTGAGTACCAGGAAACACCATAACAGCAATCTGGGAAACATGGCTTCCCTGTGGCCCTGGGCTATGGTAGAAAAAAGGGCCCAAACCTAACAGGGACAGGGGATCCGCTCACCCACTCATGAAACTTCAGTTTTACCTAAGGGAATGGCACAGCAAGAAAGGCTGTTCAGTGGGGCCTAGTTTTCAAAGTGAACCCTCGAAGCCTGTTTGTGTAATATACCTCCGATGCTCAATCCAACCCAGAAAGCGTACATGAGGAAGGAGGAGAGCTCGCCCACTGTCATGTGGGCGCTGCCCATCAGCAGGCCCCCCTTGTACAGGACAGACAGCACAATCAGGTTGCCCGAGAGCCCAGCCTACAGGAAGAAGAAAACAAAGTGGTCAGTAGTACCAAAGGCCTCTTGGGACACAGAAGTATAAACTAGGCCTCTGACTCCCTTTTAACACATAAAATTTCTCACAGAAAAAGTTTTGAAATATTTGCAACAGTGAAGAAAATACCTGCATCCCCACAAAAGCTTAGATGCTATTACCCCTCAGGCTATGTCCCCAACCTACTCAGCTTGTAAAAGATGAGAGTAAAAACTAGGCCTCCCTAACTGAAGATGAATCATAGCTCTGAGGAGATGTTCCCCACCTGGAGATGCAGCCTGCCTCTAAGCTCTGCTCCCCACTCTGGGTGGTTTGGGTCCCTAATGAGGCCTACTTGGAGGTGCTGCTTCTCAGCCCATTAAACAGTCTCTCTGAGAGGTTCTTTCCAGTTTAGATGGAAATGTTTCAGTTTTTGTTTTTTCTGGTTTTTGTTTGTTTGATAGACTCACTATGCAGCTCTGGCTGGCCCAGACTCACTGTGTAGACCAGGCTGCCTCAGACTTATAACAATCTGCCTGTCTCAGCATCCTGAGAATGCCCAGTACACATGGTGGCTTTCTACTCCGGGCTTCTGGGTACTTTGTGATCAGTTTCTTATACTTTCTTCCAGAATGTACTGAAGTTATATAATCCTCAGCAGGGTTAGCAAAATGAGGTTAAACCTGAAGGACCTAGGAACCTGTGTAAACATATGTCATGGTACAGTCCTAAGGTCCACAAAGCACGGATACTCAATGCCAGTGGCTCTCAAAGCTGTCTGAACACAGCAGGGGTGAGCACCAGCTCTTATACACACTACTTTTCTCTGATTCCACTTTCTTGTTCTCCTCTTCTTCCATAAAAGCAGCTTAAAGGCCAAGTTGTTCTTAAGGTTGAAATGAAATCATTTCTACTGCCAAAAGCCACAGAATGAAAATCTCTTGCAATCTTACTGCCTACAATGAACTACTTACTGCCCCGAAGAAGCCAGCTCGTGCAAAGGCCTCCTTCCGTGCCAACTGCAGCAACTGGTCCACTTGGCTGGTGTATTTCTCCAGTTCCATCGTCTCCTTCCCAAAAGCTCGGATGGTTCTTATGTTTCCAATACGCTCCTCAGCTAGCTATGAAAATTCAAACACATAGCAAGGGGCTGAGAAGATGGCTTCACAGTTAAGAATACTTGTTGCTCTTGAAGAGAATCTAGGTTTGATTCCCAGCACCCACGTGGTGGTTCACAATCATTCGTAACTCCAGTTCTAAAGGATCTGGTGCCTTCTTACTTCCACAGACATCCAAGCACACATGTACACAGTCATACATGCAGACAAAACACTCTCTCTCTCTCTCTCTCTCTCTCTCTCTCTCTCTCTCTCGCACACACACATGCACACGCGCGCACACACACACACACACACACACACTCATGGTGAAGGGAGGAGTGTCACATAGCAATCAACAGCACAGTTAAAATGGGACTCTTGTTCAATGTGCTGCCAATAGAAGGCTGCATGTGAAGCATAGCCAAGTATGATCACAGAGCAGAGTGCAAAGAAGAATCCCTCTTGCCGTCAGAAAAATATAAACTGCAGGGCTAGAGAGATACCACAGTCAGTCCTCTCCAGGAACTGAGCCTGGGTGCATTAACCTTGGTGAGTGGCTTACAACTGCCTGCAACTGCAGCTTCAGGGAGTCAAATACTCTCTTTTGACTTCTGAGGGTATGCGCATGTATGTGTGCACACACATAGACACAGACACACATACACCAACACACACAGTGCCCACACACTTTAGAAGGACAGACAGACAAGTAACAGGGCAGCAGGGAAAAAGACTAAACTACAAAACATTAATGACACTAACTCCGAATTGAAGAGTTTTGGATTATCTGTTTATGTCATTTAATATTTCTGTATTTCCAATTATAAAAATTTTTTGAAACATGAAATACAATACAAGTTATTTTGGATTTAAAAAGATAGTGCTGGTGTGGAGAGACGGCTCAGTTGTTGAAAACATGTAATGTTATTACAGAAGACCTATGTTTTATTTTTAGTACCCATATCAGGTACTATACAATGGTCTGTAACTGCAGCTACAGGGGATCTAATGCCCGCTTCAGGCCTCTGAGGGTAACTGCATTTATGTATACATATACCCTGTATACATAACTAAAAATAAGACAATTTTTTTTTTTGGAAAAAAAAAAAAGACAGTGCTACACAGTCTGCTTTACTGAGTTAATGAAGGACATGGTGCCACCTAAGACATTTTCTCCAAAGGACATTAGTTTCTGTTTTTATTTTTGTCTTTTATGAAAAGGTCTAGAAAGGGACTCTAGGTCTCAAACTCATGATCCTCCTGCCTCAGGCTCCAGAATGCTGAGCTTACAGACATGTCCCACCACAGCTGATCACATTAGCGTTTTGTCCTACCAGGAGCAGTGACAGAAAACAGTGAGAAATGGATACCAGCAAGGTATGGAGGCTCACAACTGTAAGGGAGACAGAGGCAGGAGGATTACCATGAATCTGAGGCCAGCCTTGGCTATAGAGTGAGTTCTAGGCAAGCTTGAGTTATATAGCAGATATACTTTGGAGTAAGTGGCAAGTCAGGATTAGAGCCCAGTGCAGAGCATTTCACATCTGTACTGAGGTCTACTAGGAGAAAAGGAAGCCATTTGTTGTGTGTTCCCCTGGTGCTGGTGCTGGGAAGGAACACACCTTGCACACCATGCATTCTGCCTGTTCCTCTGAGCTTCACAGCTAGATAACACACACATGGGAGGTCAGTACCTGTGTGGCTTGTGCCAAAGAGTCCTGTGTGGCTTTGGACAGTTTCCGAAGATATCGCCCATAAATCACGGCAAGGATAGAGATTGGAGGTACCACACTCAGAACAAAGGTGGCCAGACTGGGTGACACAAAAAACTGTCAAGAACAAAAGTTAAGAGCATTTGTTCCTTGAAGTGGCAAGACATCCTCAGACCTACTGTGCAGGAAGGAAAACACTGTCTCAAAGCCATGCCACCTGTCTGGGTTGGATTTTTCTGGCATCTTTAATCTTTACAAAACCCAACACCAAAACTGAGTGTGATGGCATAGGCCTTTAAATCCCAGCACTCAGGAGGAGGCGGAAGCAAAGGATCTCTATGAGTTAGAGGTTAGCCTTGTCTACATAGCGAGTTCCAGACCACATAATCAAAACAGCCACAAAAACTCCCAAGTGGGGGCTGGAGAGATGGCTCAGAGGTTAAGAGCACTGGCTGCTCTTCCAGAGGTCCTGAATTCAATTCCTAGCAACCACATGGTGGCTCAACCATTTATAATGAGATGTGGTTCCCTCTTCTGACAGAATGCTGTATGCATAATAAATAAATAAACAAACAAACACATAAAACTCCAAGTGGGCATAATACCAAGGAGAACTATGGCTGCAAGTGCTGGAGAAAAGATGTAAACAGCATATCCTCTGGCCAATTCTAATAGGCTCTAATATGCCAGACCACATCTTCAGCGGTGGTGGGATGGAATGAGGGCTCAGGAGAGAAGCCTGTTCAGCTGCACTGGTCAAACCACTTCATGAGTTCTAAACTCAGCTATAATCACCCTAAAGCCCTGAGTGTCCAGAAGTTTTCCCACCTAGGTTAGCAAGTCAGAGAAGACACCAAAACACCCCAATCATACACAGATGAAACAGGTATCTGAATACAACAGCCATAGTTTAGAGTTGAGGAACTGTTTCCCAGGCTTAGTAGCCTAGAGCCAGTAGGCCAGGTTTGCTCAATTTAACCATAACAGTGCCTCAAAGAACAAGAACCTTTTTGTTTTGTGTTGTTTCCAAGACAGGGTTTCTTTGTGTAGCCCTGGTTGTTCTGGAACTCACTCTATAGACTAGGCTGGCCTCAAACTCACAGAAATCTGCTTGCCTCTGCCTTCTAGTGTTGGGATTAAAGATGTGTACCACCAATGCCCAGCCTAAATGCTTGGTTTTTTTTTTTTTTTTTTTTTTTTTTTTGCTTTGTTTTGTTTTCTCTGCCTTAGCTATCCTGGAACTTGCTTTGTAGACCAGGCTGGCCTGAACTCACAGAGATCTGTCTGTCTCTACAAGAACCTTCTTGAATTAGCTGATTAGACTTCCCCAATTCTACAATGTTGTGATTGTTTTAAATGGTACTAGTGGCTCTTCAATACATTATTAAAATGTGCCAAATCTCATTTGCACATAAAATAATATAAATGGCCTAAGGTCTCCTAAAATTGCAGTGGTTAACACTGAAGACTACAGTGTGAAGTTATAAGATGGACTGACTAATTACTTATCTATTTCTTACTCAAAAAATCATAATTCTGCTAAGTTATTGGCAATACTTTTTTTTTATATCCTGTCCTTTGCTTTGCTTGGTTTTTGCTGTTGTGTGGTTTTTTTGTTTGTTTGTTTGTTTTTTATACAGTCTCCTATTATCAAGGATAGCTTCAAACTAGCATGTGTAGCAAGAATGACTTTAAATTTCTGATTCTCCTGCCTCTATCTAATGAGTTCTGGTATGACAGACATATGCCACCACGCCAGCTTTATGCAGTACTGGAGATTGAACCCAGGGCTCAGTGCATGCTGGGGAAGCATTCTACCAGCTGAATTACAACCCTAGCATCCCTTTTGCCTTTTAATCTTGCCCCATCAACATTAAGCTCATGCTCACAAGTTACTCAGGCCAGCAGGGCTGGTTGGAACACAAACACTACCTGAAGAGTGAGCTAAGATGGGCTGAGCCACCAGAGATAAGCAAAAAAGCTGTGGGCCTGTGTAGGCCACCTTGCAGGGGCACAGAAAATGAGGTCTGCACCCCTTAAACATGACACTTTGTTCCCAAAGGGGCTCTTTGGCCTGACATTCTTGGCTGTCTTCACACCGTGATCTTACCATATCTTCAAGAAAGGCCACTCTTTAGATTAATAAACACTTACACAAGAGAAATAAGCCAGGAGAGATAATACCCATGTCTCCACAGTCTGGGGCAATGATCTTGGCTCTATATGCTTACAAAATGACAAGAACATGAGCCCCTCATGCTCAAAAGCCCTGGCCCTGAGAGCCCTGACTCAAAGCACTAAGAGGAATAGGCTGACGTACCATCATGCCAACACCAACCGAGGCCTGGGCCCCAGCCCTCAGTCCATCAGAGAGGTTTTCAGTCACTGAGCGCCCCAGGAGTGCAGTATCTGAGGACAGGCGGTTAATCAACTCTCCTGTGCGGGTCTTATCAAAGAAAGCAACCTCTTGCCTTAGGATAGAGGAGAACAGTGAGGTGCGCAGCCTGTTCACAATGCTCTGACCTGCAAAGCAAACACAGTAGCTAACAGTAAATGCAGCCACCTGCCACTTATGGGGCAGCCACCAGCAAGCTGTTTATACAGCCTGTTGTCAAAGCCAGTTTGTAACTAAGTACATCAACTCAGTGGATCCTGGCAAGGGATGGACTCATACAGGGTTACCATGTTAACTTCCTGTTAGTAACTATAGACTGTGGGTTCAAGGAGAGGAGAGCGTGATAAAGGTAACATGGGCTAGCAAGACGATCAGCTTGCTGTGCAAACTTGATGACCTGAGTCATCAGATGGAACCCTTAAACCCATATAAAGGTAGGATAGAACTGACTCCATAACATTTTCCTCTGACCTTACCATATGTGCATGCATGCCTGCACAATGTAAACATACCATAACAACAATAAAAATGTATTTTAATTTTTTGTAAAGGTAACATGTTCCTTGACATGTGAGGAACATCACAAACCCAGAATGCCAATTTGTTCATGACTGGCTGCCCTTACATGAACTGCACTTTGCAATGCCAGCACTGGGGTAGTCCCCAGCCTGGTAAATAGGCCTATCTAAAGAAATGCCACAGTTCTTTCTTCTCCTACCTGCTCAACCCTGACCACAAGAAAGCAAAGAATCTTGGTGGGATGTGGGATGTGTCCCCAATGAATGCAATTTCAGGAAGACTGAGGCTCTTCCTGAGTAGTGAGACTCAAAGACTTGACTCTACCCCAGGACTCTGTCATCTTTGAGATGACTCTCCCCCACCAAACCTAATGAGACTGACCTGAAGATTGCATGAGGTAGACACGAATGGCGTTCGCAGCAGCACCACATAGGAACACACAAGTGAGTCCAGCACAGAGGCGAGTCAGGCTGTCGCCATAGTCCGTACTTGGGTTGGTGTAAATAACATCAATGATCTTCCCCAGGAAGAAAGGGGCAGACATGGTGATGACACTGGACACAGCAAGAAACCCAACAGCAGCTGGAAGACAGGAGCAACACTCAGAACTCACTCCACAGCACAGGACAGGTGCAAGCACAAAGGGCCTCAGACCTCCAGTAGCCATGGCAGCTGGGCTTTCTCCTCCTTCATCAGTGGGCCAGACTAAAGGAAGGGCCAGATGGCTTCAGGTCGAGAACAAGAAGCTTGACTGGGGGGAATGTGTGTGCCCAGCTAGACAAGAGGATGTTATGGTTCCTTCTTGCTAGGAGTACCTGAGGCTAACCATGGACATCTGTCTGGCCTCCCTCCTTCTTCTGGTTTCGGGACTCTTCAGATCCTGCTTCTCCTGCATTTTTGCTACATGCTGTTATTCCTTGGCATCTAACTACACCTTAGCTTGATGGTCAGACTAGCCAGGGAAAGTTTATCTTTTGTGTGTATGAGGGAGAGGAAGCTATTCTGAGACAAGGTCTAACTCTGAGCCCGGGCTAGCTTCAAACACACAATGTAGCCCAGGTTAGCCTTGAACTTCCTGTGATATACCTCAGCTTCTTGAATGATGAGATTATAGGTATATACTATTGTGCCTGGATTAATGTTCTTGACTATGCTTAATATTTCAAAGCTCTCCCCATAAACTTTGGAGAGTAGTTCCTGGGATCCACTTTGCATGTGGTTCATTATTTCTCTGGAAAATAAAGCATGAAATGACAATAATCAGGAAAAAAACTGTGTAACTAAACAACAGATAAGAGGGGCAGAGGCTTATTAGAAAGTTCTAGACAGATGTGGTGATGAATGCCTATAATCCCAGGACTTGGGGGACAGAGGCAGATCTCTTGAGTTCAAGGCCAGCCTGGTCTACATAGTAAGTTTCAAGCCAGCCATGACTACATAGTTGGCTAAAACAAACAAACAAAATATTCCGAGAAAATCTAGTTAGAAAGAACACACATCACAGACAACCACATCCATACAAAAAGAAATATAAAAATCACAGGACAGTCAGTTATTTACTCATGGAACTGGCAAAAATTATATGCTCATAATGTTGGTGAAGATGTAGGAAGGAGGCTCTCACTGGTGGAAGAACACAGCGGCACTGAAGGAAGAAGCAAGTTTACACCAGCAACAAGTGAGATCCTTTGAACAGCAATAAACTTCTGAGAATTTTGCTTACAAACTTCCACATGCAGTATGAAAAAATAAATTCAAGGATGTGGGACTGTAGCATTAATTATATCAGCAAAAGAATTGGTATCTTAAACACCCACCTAAACAGGCTAAGTTGAACCTACTATAAAGAATTTAGCTGGGCATTGGTGGTGTACATCTTTAATCCCAGCATAAGTTGAACCTACTATAAAGAATTTAGCTGGGCATTGGTGGTGTACATCTTTAATCCCAGCACTCAGGTGGCAGAGGCACACAGATCTCTGTCAGTTCAAGGCCAGCCTGGTCTACGAAGCAAGTTCCAGGACAGGCTTCAAATCTACACAGAAAAACCCTGTCTTGAAAAACAAAACAAAACAAAAATTATAAATAGATGGGCTTGGTGGCAAACACCTTTAATCCCAGTGCTCAGGAGGCAGAGGCAACTGGATCTCTGTGAGTTCCGGGCAAGCCTGATCTGCAGAGTGAGTTCCAGAACAGGCTCCAAAGCTACAGAGAAACAAACAAAAAATTATAAATATTAAGCCACCAATATAAGGAATGAGGTAACTCTTGGGGTATCTACTTGGAACAGTTCAGCAAGATGTACCATGGGAGCTGGGTCTGGTGACAGAGGGCTGATATCCTAGAGGACGAGGCTGGAGGCTCACAAGTTCCAGGCTAACCTCAGCTACAGAGTGAGTTCAAGACCAGTCTGAGCAACTTAATGCAACACTGTCTCAAAATAAAGAGAAATTTGGATGTAGCTATGTGCTAGAACACTTGCCCAGCAAAAATAAAGAGAAATTTGGATGTAGCTATGTGCTAGAACACTTGCCCAGCATATGTAAAATCCTAGGTTCAATCCTCAGTAATGTTAAAGCACAGAAAGACAGACACACAAAGACAAATGATTGATTAAAAAACAAGTCTTAGATAATATTAACATCTGTTGGATGTTTTCCTCTTTTTTCTTTCCTCAGAGTTTATATGAGAACAAAACTTTTTTTTGTTTTGTTTTGTTTGAGACAGGGTTTCTCTGTGTAACCCTGGCTGTCCTGGAACTCATTCAGTAGATCAGGCTGGCTTGACCTCAATGATCTACCTGCCTCTGTCTCCCAAGTGCTAGGATTAAAGGTGTATGCCACCACTGCCTGGCAAGTACAGAACATTTTTAGAAGAATATTGATGGAAGATGTCATTTTGTAAATGTTTCTCTTATTGGTTAATGAATAAAGCACTGTTGGCAAATAAGAAGGCAAGAAAGAAAGAGAGTAGCTGGTTGTGGTGACACACGGGGGTAGGATTTGCTGAAAGAAGCAGAGGCAGGAGTATCACAAGTTTGAGGCCAGCCTGGGATCTATTCATTAACCAATAAGAGAAACATATTTACAGAATGACATCTCCCATCAAAATATTAAGAAACAACAGCCTACGTTCATTTAAAGAGAAGTGCTGAGCTTGGGTATTGGGTAGATCTGCCTCCTCTGGGCTTCTCTGGTTCTGGACAACAAACTTCATAGGAACCTTATTGGTTTATGGCAGGGCTGATGGTGAATCTGGGGAGAGTTCTCTGGCCCCATCTACTGAGGATGGGTGCTTCTTCCTCCTTGGCCTAATGTTCACACTTCAGCTAAAGAGATGATTCTAACAGTCTTGAGAGAGCATGGACCAGTGTGGTGGTTTGAATAGGAACGGCCCCCATAGACTCATGTGTTTGAATGCTTGGCCCTAGGGAATGGCACTATTCAGAAGTGTAGCCTTGTTGGAATAGATATGTCTTTGTTAGAGGTGGTGTGTCACTACAGGGTGGGCTTTAAGATCTCACTAGTTCAAGCCATGCCCAGTGTGGTATCCTCTTCCTGCTGCCTGTAGATCCAGATGTAGAACGGTCAGCTCCTTCTCTAGCTCCACGTCTTCTTGCATGCCACCATGCTTCCCACCATGATGATAATGGACTGAACTTCTGTACTGTAAGCCAACCTAAATTAAATGTTTTCTTTTATAAGAATGGTAATGGTGACTTGTCACAACAATAGAAATGCTAATTAAGACAAAAGTTGGTGCCAGGGATTGGGGTATTGCTGTGATAGGCCTGACCATGCTTCTGTTTGGAGTAATATGGGCTCTAGTACTCTGGATTAGAAAAGCAGCTGAATACTTAAGTGGAGCTTAATGGGCCATCCTAGTAGGAACATGGAAGACAGTGTGCTGAGTTGAACTGTGGGGGCCTGGCTCAAGGTTTCAGGAGAAGAATGCCAGTATGTGGCCTAGAGACTGCTCTTGTGATATTATGGTGAAGAATGTGGCTGCCTTTTGCCTTTGTCCAAAAAGTCTGCTTGAGGCTAAATTGAAGAATTTTTGGATTAATTGCATTGGCAGAGGTCATTTCAAAATAGCCTAGAATTGATTGACTCTGTCATCTGGTTATTAGTGTTCACTTTTTGAAGATCTATGGTTATTAGTGTTCACTTTTTGAAGATCTATGATGAAAAGGAACAAGCTGAGGAAGTTACAAAATGTATAATTTGAAGAGAAAAGGGGCACCAGGAAGTGGAATAGAACTAAATCCTGTGTTCAAGGAGATAAACAGATTTTTAAAAAAAAAAAAAAAAAATCTTGATGTTAGATGTAATCAAGAAAGTGATAACCTCGGGAAAAGATACCACCCAGCTAAGCTTCCAACTTGTGAAAAGGAATTAGAGTTTAGGGGTGGGTGTGGTGGTGTATGCCTCCTTTGATCCCAGCACTCTGGAGGCAGAGGCAGGTGAATCTCTAAATTCAAGGCCAGTCAAGTATACAGAACAAGTTTCAGGACAGCCAGGCTTAGGCAGTGAAGGGAACAATCAAAAAAAGAAAGCTGGTGAAGCTGTATTTGGATGAGGGGACATGTTCCAGCCCCAGTAAGCAGCAGAACTTCAGCCACATGGTTCTGGCTGAAGACAAGTCAAAGACAGGAGAAAGGGTTTATGGACTCTCCCTAAAGAAAGCCACTAAAGCCCAGGTACCAAGGTACGGGACAAAGGTGTCCTTGCATGGAGCCTAGAGAGACCATCGTATAAAGTTGTGAAGATGAAGCCTGGATTGCCTTGGAGACCCCAAGATGTTGGAGATGCCAGAGTTCTGGGATACCTGCTAAGGATTGCTGCTAATAGGGAGTGGGACCAGCCCAAGAGAATTGTTGTCAACAAAGCAAAAAGGAGATGGAGATCTGAAGAGAATTTTGGACATCAGACACAGAGATTGAAGACTTTGGAGTTTGTCTAGATGTTTTCAGTCTTGCTTTGGTCCAGTATTTTCTCATTATGTTCCTTTTCCTCCCTTTCTGAAAGATAATATATATCCTGTGCCATTATATGTTGGAAGTATGTGATTTGCTTTTCACTTTGATTTTACATGGGTTTATAGTTAAGAGATTGCATGCATCTCAGATGAGACTTTAAATTTTGGACTCTTAAACAATGTTGAGACTGTTATAGACTGTTGGGACTTTTAAAGTTGGACTGAATGCATTTCTGGGCTATGTTATGGCTACAAGTCAAAGGGAGTGGAATGTGGTGGTATGAATACGAATGGCCTCTACAGATTCATGTGTTTAAATGCTCAGCCATTATTAGGAGGTGTGGCTTTGTTGGAGACAGTATGTCACTAGGGGGTGAGCTTTGAGGTCTCCAAAGTTCAAGTCACATCCAGTGTGGCATTCTCTTCCTATTGTCTGTAGATTGAGATGTAGAACTCTCAGCTCCTTCTCCAGCACTATGTCGGCCTATGTGTCATCACACTTCCCATCATGACGATAATAGACTGAATCTCTGTACTGTAAGCTAGCCCCAATTAAACCTTTTCCTTTATAAGAGTTGCCTTGGCCATGGTCTCTTTGCAGCAAC